ATGGTAATGATCTATGTGTAGTATAATGTTACGCTAAATTTTGATGATGATGTATTTTCAACATAAGGCTTCACCATTGGAAACCAGTTTTTTGATGACTCTTTTAATGTGTAATATAATGTTACAGCAAGTTACACCTTTGTAAACCAGATTTCTACGCGCATATCGAAAAAGTGGATGTTTCGGTTGATATATTTCTTCTAAAAGATTTAAATTCTGTCGATGGAGGAGTGACTCGTCCACGATTTTGTCCCACAGGAGTGCCGCCACGCCAGGTGCCAGTATGTGGGGAACCAGCGTCCGGTGAACGGTTTCTGGAGCCCCTGGAGCTCCTGGTCGGAGTGTAGCAGCGAGTGCGGGGTCGGGGTCAGACAGAGGTCAAGGGCGTGCGATAACCCAGCGTGAGTCAACCGTTGACCTTTGGAAGGGCTCTATACTGTCCCCGTGGTTTTATGCACCCCGCATAATTTCGCAAAATTTGATCATTTTTTGCTTAATTTCGGATTATTTTCCTCTATCATTCTTTGTTAAAATTAACAGAATGGCATAATTTCACACTTTTGAGCCCAGCTTGCAGAATTTCATAACGAAAAGAAAAGAAAACTTCGGGGACAGCCTTTAGCAAGAACGCACAAGCCATTTACTACAAAAATAAAAAAGAGCCCCCCCCCTCCTCCCCAATAAACAAACGAAATAACTTATGCTTTGAAAACAAAAACTATGAGGGAATGGCAATCTGATCATACTAAATACTTTAGATATCGAGGGACACAGAGCGTACTTTTGAGAAAAAAAAATTATTCTCACGATAATTTTCATCATAAGGATGTAGAGTGGACAGGGTTTTCCAGACATGCCAGGATTTGACGCGTACTGCGCTTTGCAATAGAACCCTTCATTTGATTTGTTGTTGTAATGGTTTGATAAGAGTTTGCTTCTGTAGAAGCAGAGAATGTGTGTATGTATGTAAATGTGTGTGTGTGTGTGTGTGTGTGTGTGTGTG